GTGTCCATCCCTCCTCCTCTGTGTCCATTCTATGTCCATCCCACCTCCTCCGTGTCCACCCTGGCCCACGCCGGTGTCCCCCCGCTGTCCCCCAGGCTGCTGGAGGCCGACTCCAAGTCGATGCGCTCCATGAACGGCTCGCGCCGGAACAGCGGCTCCTCCCTGGTCTCCAGCTCCTCGGCCTCCTCCAACCTCAGCCACCTGGAGGAGGACACCTGGATCCTCTGGGGACGCATCGTCAACGAGTGGGACGAGTGGCGCAAGAAGAAGGAGAAACTTCTCAAGGTGTTGCCCCTTCACCAACCTCTCCCACCCAGGGTGTCCTCCACCTCCTCCAACCCCTCGGTTTCCCCCTCAGGAGCTCATCAGGAAGGGCATCCCCCACCACTTCCGAGCCATCGTGTGGCAGCTGCTCTGCAGTGCCACCGACATGCCGGTCAAGAACCAGTACTCGGAGCTCCTCAAGATGTCCTCTCCGTGCGAGAAGCTCATCCGTCGGGACATTGCGCGCACCTACCCCGAGCACGAGTTCTTCAAGGGCCAGGACAGCCTGGGCCAGGAGGTGCTCTTCAACGTCATGAAGGTCAGGTCCTTTCCGTCCTTGGGGATGGTTTGGAGGTGGCATCTCCCTGGGATCCACCGGGGAATGTGTGCCGGGTCATGGGGTGGGTTGGAGATGGTTTGAGGAGCAGCCAAGGGTCAAGGGGATGGTGGGGACACCTAAGGGATGGCCAGGAGATGTCTTGGGGGTGTCTGTGAGACCTCAGGGCTGCAGATCGCAGAGTCATTTTCAAGGCATTTGGTTCCACCCAAACCCGTTTTTCAGGGATGTAATTCCACCCGATCCTGTTTTTGAGGATCTAAACTGAAGCTCCAGTCAGTCCTTAACTAAACCCTTGAGTCTCCTCAGCCCCAAAGATCCATTTCCCGTGCTCATTCCATCATCAGCCTCCTCTGAGTCCTCACATGGACCCACGAGATCCATTTCCCGTGCTCATTCCACCATCAACCTCCTCTGAGTCCTCACATGGACCCACTGAGTCGGAGCTTTCCCTCTTCCAGGCCTATTCCCTGGTGGATCGCGAGGTCGGATACTGCCAGGGCAGTGCCTTCATCGTGGGACTCCTCCTCATGCAGGTTTGGGGGGACGCCGGGCCGAGGTGGGGTCTGACACCCTCAGGGGAACACCTGGGATGGCTTGGGGAATGGGGAATGTTGTCCTCATCCTCCGCATCCAAATGGTGCTGCAGGGTCTGGTTCAGGGTTTCCAGCAGTAGAAGGTTCATGGTTGGACTTGATGATCTTGAGGTCTCCTCCAGCCTTGGTGACTCCATCTGGTTTGGGGATTCCATCAGTGACAGATTCATGGTTGGACCAGATGACCTTAGAGGTCTCCTCTGACCTTGAGGATTCCATTCCACGAAGCCCAATTTGATGTTCATCCAACCTACTCCCTATGGGTTTAAACCCCCTCCAGATGCCTCCTAGTCCCATCCCACCACCCCGTGGGCAGCAGCTCCACGGGGGAGCTGTGGTGGGATCTGCTCTGCCTTGGCCCACAGATGCCAGAGGAGGAAGCTTTCTGCGTCTTCGTCAGGCTCATGCAGGAGTATCGCCTGCGAGAGCTCTTCAAGCCCAGCATGGCCGAGCTGGGGCTCTGCATCTACCAGTTTGAGTACCTCCTGCAGGTGGGCACTGCCCCCAGCCCAGGACCCCCCGGGAGGGGACACTGCTGGGGACAGGGGCAGGGAGAGGTGGGCATGAGGTGGCATCTCAGCGGGTGCTCCGTGAGTGTGTGCTGGGGTCGTGGGGTGGCTTGGAGTGCTCCGAGGAGCTCCCGGGGTTCAAGGGGGATGTCAGCAAGACCCCAAGGATGTCCATGAGATGCCTCAGGGACCATTCATGACACCCCAAGTTCATCCATGAGATCCTGGGAACTATCCATGGGACACCCCAGGGACCATCCATGAGAGCCCCAAAGGGACCATCCATGACATCCACAGGGACCATCCATGAGATGCTGCAGGGACCATCCATGAAAGCCAAAGGGATCATCCATGAGACACCCCAAGGGACCATCCATGACACCCCAGGGATCATCCATGGGACACCCCAAGGGACCATCCCTGAGACATCCCAAAGGGACCATCCATGACATCCCCAAAACCAAGGGACCATCTGTGAGACCCCCAAAGGGACCATCCATGAGATCCTCCATGGACCATCCATGACACCCCAGGGACCATCCATGGGACACCCCAAAGGCACCACCCACGCCCTGGAGACCACCCACCCACCCCTCACGCAGGACCTGAACCCCTCAGGAACCTCCAGAAGCTCTCCTGACTCTCCTGGCCCTGTCCAGACCTCCTCATCCATGAGTAACCCCCGAAAATCCTCCACCATGGCCACTTTCTCCTCCATTCCCTCCAGGAGCAGCTGCCAGAGCTGAACATCCACTTCCGCTCTCAGAGCTTCCTCACCTCCATGTATGCCTCATCCTGGTTCCTCACCCTCTTCCTCACCACCTTCCCGCTGCCCGTGGCCACGCGCGTCTTCGACATCTTCATGTACGAGGTAACGTGGCCCCCGACGCCCTCAGTCCCCCAAACCTCTGCCTCCTTTCCCACCTGGACGTGGAAACCTCCTCCCTGCCCCGCTCACTCGGAGCTTTGGGTGGGAGAACCTCCAAATCCCAGGAGGGATCGAAGGTGGATCCTTCCTGCAGGGCTTGGAGATCGTCTTCCGCGTGGGGATGGCTCTGCTGCAGTTCAACCAGGCTGAGCTGGTCCAGCTGGACATGGAGGGAATGTCCCAGGTGCTGCCACCGGGTCCGGGCAGGGTCTGGGTCATGGTTTGGGATGAGTTTGTCCAATGGATCATGGTTCGGCCAACGGGATGAGTTGTGGGTCATGGCATGGGATGGATTTGTCCAGTGGGTCATGGTTTGGGGTGGACTTGGCCAGTGGGTCATGGTTTGAGGAGGATTCCTGCCCCGAGGACATGTCTGGGACCGTTAATCCAGTTCAGGGTGGGGTTGCCAGGGCTGTTCTCCAGGGCCACACGTCCCACCTGCTCCATCCTGCAGTACTTCCAGAAGGTGATCCCACACCAGTTCGACAGTTGTCCTGACAAGCTCATCCTCAGAGCCTTCCAGGTCAAGTACAACGCCAAGAAGATGAAGAGGTGAGCGTGGGTGGGTCCCGGTCCCTGTCCCAGGCCCACGTCCCCGTGTGCCCTGCCCCATGTCCCCCTGTCCCCACAGGCTGGAGAAGGAGTATGCTGCCATCAAGAACAAGGAGATGGAGGAGCAGATCGAGATCAAGGTGAGTGGTGGCATCTTGGGGACCTTTGGACCATCCCTAGGGTCATCTAAGCCTTTCTGGAGCCACTTTGGACCATCCCAGGACAATCTAAGATCTGGAGCCACCACGGCCCATCCTAGGGCAAGCCAAGGTCCCTGGGGTGGCCCTGGGACCTCAGCCCTGCCCTCTGTCCCCAGCGCCTGCGCACCGAGAACCGACTGCTCAAGCAGCGCATCGAGACCCTCGAGAAGGTGAACCCCAAAACCCCCTGGGCACCCCTAAATCACCCTGGAGCTCCTCAAAAACCCTCTGGGGCACCCCAAAAACGACCCTGGGGCATCTCCAAACCTTCTGGGGCACCACAGAGCCACCATGGGGAGACCCCAAACCCTCTTGGGGTACCCAAACTCCCTCCATGGCACCCCAAACCCTCTTGGGTCCCCCCAACCACTCGCCAAGGCACCCTGAAAACCCCCTGGGGTTTGGGGGCAAAGTCCCTCAATTCTGAGGCCAAACCCCTCAGTTTGGGGATGAAATCTGTGAATTTTGAGGCGAAGTCCCTCAGTTGTGAGGCCGTTTCCTGAATTTTGAGGCAAAAGTCCCCAAAATGAGTGGATTTGGGCTAAATCCCTGTTTTGAGGCACAGTTTCCCCGTGTAGAGGCCAAATCCCTGAATTTTGGGACAAAATCCTTCTGCTTTGAGGCCAAATGTCTCCGTTTTGAGGCAAAACCCTTCAGTTTTGAGTCAAGATCCCTCAATTTTGAGGCCAAATCCGTGAGTTTTGAGGCCAAATCCCTGGATTTCAAGGCAGAATCCCTGAGTTTTGAGGCTAAATCCCTGGATTTCGGAGCAGAACCCCTGACTTTTGAGGCAGAATCTCTTGATTTCAAGGCAGAATCCCTGGATTTCAGGACAGAATCCCTGTGTTTTGAGGCAGAATCTCTCGATTTTGTGGCCAAATCCCTGGATTTCAGGGCAGAGTCCCCGAGTTGAGCCCAGACCCCATTCCCAGCCCGTTTCCTAATCCCCCCTGGCTCCAGCCCCACAACATTCCGGGGAGGGAGCGCGGGAAGGTCTCGGGAGCCTCTGCCTGTGGCTTCTGTCGCTGCCTTCGTCTGCCTTCACCTCCTCTTCCTCCTCTTCCTCCCCTGGCCGCAGGAGAGCGCGGCTCTGGCCGATCGCCTCATCCAGGTACTGTCTCCTCTTCTCTTCCTCACCTTCTGTCCCGTTCTTCCTCCCCCTTCCTCCTCCTCCTTCCCCTCAGCCTCCTCCTGCTCCTCCCTCGTGGCTCTGGGGCAGGACTTGTCCCTTCTCCTGCTTCTTTCGGTTTTTCCGGAGGCTCCTGCGACCCTTCCCCGCTGGGGGGTCGGGGAGGGTTTCGGGAGGGGGTTGGGGTTGGCTGAGTTGGAGGAGAAAAAGGGATTGGGTGGGTTTGGAGCAGGAGGGATGGGGAGAAAGGTGCTGAGGGGCTAAGTGGGCATGGAGGTCTCTGTGGGCTTAGTGGCACCTCACTGTCACCTGTCCAGGCCTAGCGGTACCTCGTTGGCCCTGGTGTCACCTCCTTGTCCTCACCACCGCCACCAAACCCGTCCCAGTGCCGCTCTGGGCTCTGGCAGGGTGGTGACAGGTCCCCATGTCCCCAGGGCCAGGTGACACGGGCACAGGAGGCCGAGGAGAACTACATCATCAAACGGGAGCTGGCGGTGGTCAAACAACGCTGCACCTCAGCC